TGAGATTTCAGTTCCCACCAGCAAAATCAATGGCTGTGATTGGCTGCAGTGTATTTTAGTATGCTATTTTCTTAACTGTCTCAAGGACGTTCTTATGTTGTATAAATAAACGAGAGTTGTATGCTTGATTGTACTGGGATTGCTGGGTGTTTGTAGAATATACTTCCTACGCTACGAAGTCTTCTATTTCGATTTTGGGTATTCAAGGTAGCCTCCCTGGAAGCTGGTAAAAGTCTCGTTCGCGTTTATCGACTAAGGTAACTCGTAATAGCCTCAAGCATACTAAGTGACGAACTTATCATCCAGTAAGTGCCGAAATGTACAGGGAAACTTTATGACTTTGTAGTATTTCGTATAGAGTGAAAACAAAATTATAATCACCAAATCCATAAACAGAGATGTTACAAAATTTTTCAATCATCGTATGCCACATTGATATCTTAAAAAATAATAAACAGCTTTCAGTGAATAGAATCTCTTCAGCTTCTTGGGAGCCTCTGAACGCTTCTGGCAGCCAGCAACAAACTTGAATGATCTTCTTGGCCTTTTCCAATGTGCAAACATTCCATGTTAAATGTTGCTCTGGTTGTTAGAAGGGCATCAGCCTCATGACCTCCAAAGAAATCGAACCTTTATCATGAGATATCAGCACTCTTCGAAATAAAGATAACTTCAACTGCCAGGGTAGAGTCTGAAAGGCTGAATCTATTTTTTTATGGTTAGCGTTTCTTTATCAATATAGTTTTCTATGGGATTACGTTGTTAACTGTCATGATCTTTAATTGATATACAGGAAATATTACAAGTTCACCTTAGTTGGTAAATGACAGCGACAGGCTACTCTTATCCGAACGTCCCAATGCCCCACTAAGTAGAGGAAGACGTCTTAACAAGACGTACACGTTGTATTCTACAAGCACCCAGAAAATATGAGGTTGACAAGCACACAAATTAAGTTTATTTATACATGATAGAAACGTCCTTTGGAAGAGCCACAAAAATAGCGTACTAAAATAATCCATCAACCAATAACAGTCAAGAATTTTCCTTGTGGGAAACACGATCTCAAGGTCAACTGATCAGTTCATGTGCTAAACCATACCCAACCCTCTTTCTTGCCTTATTCAATCCTTGAAAACGGCTATCACCTTAGGGAGGAGGACCCTAGTGGAGTTTCCACATTGAATTAAAAAAACCTTTTAAACGTTCCACAATTACAGTTTAGTAAAAACACTAATTGACTACAATATAAATATCATTTCGGAAATTGTATATTTAAGAAAATTTTTTTCACTTACTCCAGGTGCATCGATATTATCGAATTGAACATTGTTTGGCATAGTTCTTAATAAATCAAGTGAAATTTGACGTCTATGTTGTGCTGCAAGCTAAAAAAAATTATCATAGAAAGTATAAATGTGAATGATTTAATTTTTGTGTGGGGAAAAAGAAAACTTTACTATATTCAATAAATTTTTTACTTCAGTTTGAATGATAACTTAATGACAAACTGCCTGAAGCCCTTCTGAGGTTTACAGCTAGTCCTAAGCCTGGATAATGAAGGAGGGTTGAGCATAGGCTTAGCGACCCTATTCCAACCTCAACTGGCTAAAAAGACGCTAACAAGAAGAATAATACGCTGGTCAGCGGCCCATGCTCCGTTAGGAGTAACAGGCGTAAGTAAGTAAGTAAGTAAGTAAGTAAGTAAGTAAGTAAGTAAGTAAGTAAGTAGGAAGGATTTGATTTTGACCAATTCGGTCTCGTGTGCTGTTACGACTATGAGGGCAGTTGTCACTTCCCGGATGCCCACACCATGGAAGGGTGTATCTTGAGGGACCTGAAAAGGAAGATATATTAGTGTTGGTCTTAGAGACTGGGTGAGTGACCACAGAGCCCAAAGGATAACTGCTTGGGGCTGGTCACGCACGGCCTTTTTATGAGAAGTTTTTTGAGTATTAGCTCCGCTCTTGAAAGCCCTTAGTGAGCACCCTTACTGACGGAGACGGAAATCCGTGAGGTAGGGTGAGGTGTTACATTTTTAGGGTCGACCTTCTCTAACCCTTCCTTCCTTGTGCGAAGGCAGCATCGCTGCAGATGTTGGTTGTCCTAGGGAAACACCTTACTGCTGTCACACCCCTCTGCAGTCAGCAGTAGGACTGCGCCCTCAGACCTTGAACAGCTGCTTTTAGTCTCAACGTTCTTCAATCGACTTGCCTGGCATAATAAACCGTTCAGGAACATATGTTCCAACCAATATAGCTCGGTTGGGTCATGGTGATAGGCAAGCTCGACCACCACGTCAAGGTAGCAGCTACAGTTTGGTGCAAGTGTATCAATTCGTTGTGCACTCTGAAATTCTAATCTTCTGGATTCGTCAGAACCACTACCTTTGTCTTTCTAACCTTATCTGACTGAATTATATTTCTTCAATAATATCTTCAAACACTAGTCTTCTTCATTACCATTAATACCTCTGTGGTGTGAGCTACTTATAAGTAGTATATGACGTGAGTGTCAACGTAATGTCTGGCAGCAGAAGATGGGGGAAGATCAAGAAAGGAAGAGTTAGAAAACAATGGAATTTGTATGAAACGCATGAACAGTGACAATGGATTGATGTTTTGCAACAGGAACAGTCCAGTTCGATAGGATGAACTGATATTTTGCAAATGAACAATTTACGATATGGTTTTCCAATTTTACTGAGTAACTCTGTAATTTCGCTAAACACAATCCGGCTGCCCCAACTGTGTTCTCGTTCACTACACCTCTACTATCTTTATCACTATGGGATTTGATTTGACATTTGCGTCTCTGTGCTAATGTGGTATGACAACATTAACTTATGTACATACGTACGAAGTTCTACGTTGCAACTGACTGAAGTAAGTAAGTAAGTAAGTAAGTAAGTAAGTAAGTAAGTAAGTAAGTAAGTAAGTAAGTAAGTAAGTAAGTAAGTAAGTAAGTAAGTAAGTAAGTAAGTAAGTAAGTAAGTAAGTAAGTAAGTAAGTAAGTAAGTGAGTGAGTGAGTAAGTAAGTAAGTGAGTGAGTGCGTCTGTACTGTCTAACCACATTTATCATAAAAATGCCAGTTAGTTAATTAGTTAGTTAGTTAGCTGATAACAGTTTAACGATTACCTTAGTATACAACATTTTCCTATTTTAACTGACATTTTTAATATTATTAATGAAAAGCATAGGTTCATCATTATGTCATGATGTAACACAACGTGAAATCATTCTACTTCCTGTTGAATTCATGACATGAATAATCTCTCTGAAGTAAATCACCCAGTAAATACGAACAACTTTCTTGTCAATTCAAATGCACTGATTAAGTAAGATTGTTAATCAGTATTAAAAATTGAATAGTAAGGAGGGGCAGTTCTATTTTGACCAGGTTTTAGGGCGTTCACGCACAATACCGAAGGTCTCGGGTTCGAATCCTGCGGGGTGCAGGATGCGCACTGCTGAGGAGTCCCATACCAGGACGAAACGGCCGTCATTCAATGCTTCCAGGTTTCTAATGGTGGTCTAACATTGATCGATTCATGGTTTCAAAAATGTGTAATTTTAAGATCATTGTACAATAACACACTGAAATAATATAAATCCTGTTTAGATTTAGCTTAAGGGAATGTAAGAACCTTCAGTTGACAGTAAATTGTAATTTGAATAAAAGAGAAATGGGAAAGAGTATGAAAGCAACGCCTTAGGTTAGTTGATTCCCGTCAAGAAAAGTGAGTGCATTTATAGAGTTACATATGACATTGGGTTTCTGGAAGTTTCGGGACATTGCAGTAGTACAAGTAAATATCCGACGAGAATCGTGGCACGAGATTCTGGGAATTTCTAGATGTTTCTGTGACATTTCTATTGGATGCTGAGTGTATAAAACATTTCTTGGTGTTTTTATTTAAGTCTGATGATACTTTTACAAGGGATATTTTAGGACTTTTTTCTACGCCTGTTACTCCCCGTGGAACAAAGGTCGACGACAAATATTCTCTAACCTACTTTGTCCTTTCAAGTTCTATGCAATTTCTGTTCATTCTTTACGTGTCTGATTTCAATTCTCGGTGTATAGTGTTCTTTGGTCTTTCTGTTTTCTTTTAACCTTGAAGTTTCTGAGTGAGGGTTTGTCTAGTAATGCCATCGGGGGCTTTCCTCAATGTTTGTCCTATCGTTCTCCAGAAATTTCTCCTCGATCTGGAATCTCATTTGTTCTGTCCTACAGTAGATTGTTACTGATGGTATCTAGTCAGCGGATCCTCGTTCTATTATGTAGACAACAGTTGATGAACACCTGTATCTTTCGAATGTTGACTTTTGTGGTTCTCCGAATCTCCGCTCCATACAATAGAAATATCGTAACGTTTGTATTGAAAATTGTGACTTTGATGTTAGTTGATAGTTGTTTTGACTGCCAAATGTTCTTCAATTGTATAAATGCAGCCCTTGCTTCTCCGATGCGCGCCCTCACAATCGCGTCAGATCCACCGTGCTCACCGAAGATGCTGCTCAGATGAGTAACGATTCCCACATCTACCAAAACTTCTCGATCAAGTTTAAACTGATCAGTGCATATCGTGTTGTATCGGAGAATCTTACTTCTTTACTTGTGTATGTTAAGACCAATTGTTTCAGAGGCTGCTGCTCCACTGATCACGCTCACCTTCATTTGTTGCTGTTATTTTTATGGGAGAGAAAAGCTAGATCATCTGCGAAGTCTGGATCGTCGAGCCGGATTCGTGTTGTCCACTGTATTCCGTGTTTCGCCATGAAATGTCGACGCCTTCATAATTCAGTCAGTCACCAGGAGAAAGAGAAAGGATGAGAGTACGTAACTTTGCCTAACACTGGTCTTCACGACTTTGCAGTATAGCTCATCAGTATAATAACTCCGTATGAAGTTGATTATAGATATACATGTGACTCTAGTCCATCAATAATATGAAATATTTCACAGAAATAAAAAAAAACTACTTTTATTGACTTACTGTATTTTCACTAAATTCTTCTAATAGTCCATTATAATATAATGGTCCTTTAATTTGCATTAATTGATGTAATTCCCCATGAATTAACATACGCCATACACCTTCACGATATTGAATTGGTATACCGGAACGACATAGAACTTCTAAATCAGCCTTTTCAGAAAAATAGAACAAAAAAAAATCAATAATTCATCAGTAGAAAATATCATGAGATTTCGATCATCGGTGTCTCCGAAGCATTGCTCGTGTATTAGGGGACAACCGTATAAGCAATGCTTTAGTTAGGAAACGAGTACTAGGTAGGGATGGCAAATCAATAGATGAAGTAGTGAAACTTCATCAGTTGAGGTGGTTGGGGCATGTGCTGTGTATGCCTAACCACCGACTGCCGCGACGAGCTATGTTTCGTGGTGTAGAAGCAGGCTGGAAGAAAGTTGGGGACGGCCATACCAAAACATGGCAGAAGTCCATGAAGTCACTGACAAGTAGACTGAGTCATGTTGGTAGGTATCGACCACTTGCTTGGGGTCAGCGAGACGAAAGTCACCAATGGTTAGAGACATTGAACGACATGGCTCAAAATTGTTTGTAATGGAGCAAGTGTATCGATTCGTTGTGTTCTCTCAAATCCTAATCTTCTGGATTCGTCAGTACCTCTACCTTTGTCATTCTAACCTCACCTCAATGAATTATACTTCCTGAATAATATCTTCAAACCCTAGTCTTCTTCATTACCATTAATACCTCTACTATCTTCATCATTATGGGATTTGATTTGACAGTTGCGTCTCTGTGATGATGTGGTGTAGCAACCTGAACTGATGTACTTATGTACGAAGTTCTGCGTTGTATCTGTCTGTATCTGTCTGAGATTTCAACAGTAAATCAAACCCAGGACTATCGGTCTTGCGTGCAAACAATTAACCTCTAGACTATATAACTGACATTCAATGGTGTTAATGTCTAACTTGAACTGATCCGTAACATTGCTCGACTTCATCCATTGTCTTCGGTGGGTATTACTTCACTCCCGACATGGGTTGAACTTCACTGCTGTTAAGTCTCACACTGCGATGAATCAGCCATGCAGTTACTATCAAAGACAGTGTATGAGGTTGCACAAGACCGTGAATTGATAGAAATTAGACATCAACACCGTCAGATAGTGGCTCGATGGTCCAGAGGTCCAGGGTTCGAATCCTGCGAGGTTGAAGAGTCGTGTATACGCACCGTTGAGTCTCATGCCAGGACGAAACAGCCGTCCAGTCCTTCCAGGTTTCTAATGGTGGTCTAACTTTGATCAGTTCATGATTTTAAAGAATGATTTGTTAAAAATCAATATTTCTAAAATAACCTTTATAGTACTGAAGCTTCAACTGATTAGGTCAATCACACAACATTTGATTAAGTGATTGGATAAATTAAGTACCTCATTACAAGGTTGTAGCGACTATGAAGTTTCATAATTCCAATTAAACTCATCAATCTCTACAACGATATACTGAAAACAATAATATACCCACTATTGACATACTTATCTCGTGAAGTTAGGCAGCAGAACTTACTCTTGTTAATTCTCTATTAGCATGTGTTAACAATTCAGTCCAACGATAGAAATTCTCATCACCACCTGACAATTGACGTGTATAAAAATTGTACAATTGTTGACAACTATAATGAATGATACTTGTTTCATTTAAATAACTATGCTTGAAACCATAAAAATCCACATGATAATCAGCATTTTTTGGTCTATTTTGTGAAAAAAAAATAAAAGACAAGGAGTTAGTAAAAATCAAACAAATTAGTAGTATGATAATGTTATACTTGTCAATTGATTGATATGCTTGAATGCTATTACAAGTTCATTTTCGTCGGTAAACGAGATCGAAGACCAGTGATCTAGTGACACGATAGGCTACTCTGAGCTGAGCGTCCCAAGGCCTTACTAAGTAGAGGAAGAAGTCTTGACTAGGCGTATGTTACGCCTGCACGTAAACACGTCAACTTGATATACTTGAACTATTACGAGTTTACCTAGTCGGAAAACGAAAGCGAGGATCGAGGGTCCAACGACACGACATGCTACTCAAATCCGATTATCCCAACCCACATATTTAGTAAAAAATAAGAAGACATGATATGAAGTAGAACGTGTATTCTACAAGCATCCAGAAAGTACGAGGTCCGAATCCAGAAGAGAATCAGGATCCCGGACTAGGGATCCGGGACCGAGCCCTGGTCCTGGTCGTGGTCATAAAATGTTACAGATAATGCGTATTTATACATTTTGGTAGAATAGGAAACAGCATCGAATTCTGTGGCATTGACAGTTAAGACGACCAATAGGAAATAACATTTGAAGTGACATTGACAGTCAGGATGACCAATGAGAGACAACATTTCAGTACTTCACTTTGAGAATTAAACGACCATCAATTTGACCAATAGAAATCGACCAATAGGATTTGACCAATAATTCTTTTAGGATATTGGATGAATATCCTAACAGCCTAGAAAGTGTATTCTACAGGTACCCAGAAAATATGAGGTTGACAAGCACATGGGAGAGCCATAACAATAGAGTACTAAAATAAAGTACATCAACCAATACCGGTCGAAGAATTTTCCGTGGTGGGAAATGTAATCTCGAGATCAACTGATCAGGCTTTGCACGAATACATAAAATCTGAAATTAGGACTTTTATCGAGTGAGTTGTGGGGATCTAACATCCTCAACAAATATCTTTGAACTTCTGGGAGATACACATAGTGATATAGTTCTGTTTGATAAAGATATTGACTACATGCACAGTCTTATGACTAACTTAAGCAATAATGAAGGCATGTTTAGGATGCCGTTCTTCCTCCCGCCATCCAAAAGGCTAACTTTTGCTTTAGCATTGGTGTGCATCAGCACCTGAACTAGTGACAGGAAGTGAGATAATTGAGCGTTTCGACCAATTCACTTATCTCGTGAGTGTCATCTGTGCTGATGGCCTCGTGTCTGACGAAATCTCGGTGTTGGGGATGTTAGATCACCAAAATCCGCTTGATAAATAACTTATTTTGGTTTTTACGTTCACGAACATAGGCTGATCAGATGATCTTGAGATTTTAATTCCCACCAGGAAAATCCATGTCTGTGATTGGCTGCTGTGTATTTTAGTGTGCTATTTTCTTAACTGTCTCAAGGACGTTTCTATGTTGTATAAATAAACGAGAGTTGTGTGCTTGATTGTATTGTGTGATTGCTGGGTGTTTGTAGAATATACTTTCTACGCTTACAAAGCCTTTTTATTTCAGCCTCGGATTCAAGCTAGCCTACCTGGACGCTGGTAAAAGTGTCGTTCGCGTTTATCGACTAATGTAAACTCGTAATAGCCTCAAGCGTACTTTGTGAAGGCTCGACTGGATTTTGCCAGCTTCCATCACTCATGGCATAGGCAAGATATCCGTCTGTAGAACGAAGGGCGAGTTCATTGCAAAGCAATTTCACTTCGTCTTACTCTATAAAAGTGAAACGTTGCCAATAAGAACCAGGTATATTCATAGGTTACTAGTATTCGATCACAGGTATCTTCGAAGCATTGCTTGTGTATTCGTGAACCACCAAGTAAACATTGTTGATGTTGGGGAAATGGTACTAGTTATGTACGACAAATCAGTTGAGGTAGTCGGGATATGTATTACGTATGTCTAGTCACTAACTGCCTCGACTAGCGATGTTTTATTTAATGAAGGGTTAGGCTGGAAGAATGATAGGGGCAGCCAAACCAAAATAAGGAACAAATCGATGAAATCACTGACAACTGGAATGAACCATATTAGTAGGTGTCGACTACCAGTCAACTATCTGTGAGACAATGGTTAAAGGTGATTAAAGACTCTGGGGGACTGGGTCAAAATCTTTTGCAAAGGTGTAGATGAAGCTATTCTTTGTGTTCTCTCAAATCCTAATCTTTCACATCTCTTCTTATCTTGAGAGCACTCTAATCGCGCCATATATTTAGATCGGACACTCCTCACTTCAGCAATAATCTCTACATTCTACTTACTGAACACGTTGTGAGTAGTATACACCCCAGTGGTTCCGGTGTTCTTCTTATTTTTTTAAATAGCCCATTTTATGAGATCAGTATTAATCAAAATTTATTTGATAAAATTAAATCCCTGACAAATGCTAACAGAAACAACAAGAGTTTCGTATACAACTACACTGAGGAATGCATATCATTGTCCTAAATGTACAAACGAACCAAAGCGTGTACGTCAGTAAAATCATGGACTGTCGAAATCTCAAAAGTACTGGACTAGTATTCAATGGTTATTTAATTTTGATTCGCTCATGATTTCAATGAAATTCAAAAATCTTTACAATGTGATGCTAGCCAAATTGTTAGGATTTCCACCAAATATCCCACAAAGAATCATTTTGTAAGTTTAAGTTCTATTGATCGATTCCTATTGGTCAATATTATGGTCGTCCTAGATATCATTGTCACGTACTTCAATGTTGTTTCCTATCGGTCGCCTTAACTGTCAATGTCACAGACTTCGATGATGCTTCCTATTCGATCTAAATGTATAAATACGCATTATCTGGGATCCTGATTCTCTTCTGGACTCGGACCTCGCACTTTCTGGATGTTTGTAGAATACACGTTCTACTTCATATCAAGTCTTCTTGTTTTACTCAATGGGGGTTTGGGACAATCGGATTAGAGTAGCATGTTGTGTCGCCGGATCCTCGATCCTCGTTCTCGTTTTCCAACTAAGGCAAACTCGTAATAGTTCAAGCATATCAGAATGACATGTTGACGTGCATGCGTAACACAAATGTATGTTTCAAACTGTTATTAGTATCAAGATATCATCTGACAAGTTTAGCCAGTCGAGACAAGCCATTGAGATGTACTTGTATATTTGTTCATGGTCAAATGACGAATCAGAAATACTGACGGATGCACTATCTTAGTCACGATTAGGTTCAATCATCTGAACGATACATATATACATGTGTGCATACTAACATGTTTTCATATCAGGGTGAAGATCGCATGCTGGAAATGTGCATGTCTACATCGTAACATCGTTTATAAAAGAAACATTTTTATTTCCAAAATAATCAATACTTTCATTCTATTCACTTACTTAATCATTGATGGTAAACTTGGATCTTTACGTCTTGCTTCATCCAATAGTTCACTGATTAAATTTTTATACTGAAACAACAGAGAAAATTAGAAAATGTTTTACTGATTATTTCGCCATACTACTTAAATAAAATGAAAGTAGTATTTTTTCGGACATTCATTGAACGCTGTACAGTCTCTTCTTTTAAGGTTTGTTCAATGTTCAATAGTTTGAACATTGACTTCTTATACTGTTTTTCAGTCCTCAGAAATTTTCTGATCATCAATTCCCAAATAAAACATAACTTGTAGTCTTCTTTAATGTTAAATTTCCTTTGTGATTTTGACAACTGTACGATCGAGAAGGTATCAATAGTCGCTATCTGTCTTCGGTTATACGTGGTGATTAAATCACACTAAGCCAGACACACAATTTAAGACCGAAATAGAGAGCCAGAGTAAACGACAGACAATATTTCATTC